CCAAAGTACTGAAGAGCAATGGTGTCACTCTGGAGACTAATGAGCATCTGATACAGGCCATGGTCTTTGCAAACATTTGTTATGCATCAGAAAGTTGGACAATGACTTGGGATGATAGACGGAGAATTGATGCCTTTGAGCTGTGGTGCTGGAGAAGAGTATTGAATGTACCATGGACTGCTAAGAAAACAAACAGATTCATCCTGGAGAAGGTTAAATCGGGTTGCTCCTTGGAGGCAAGGATTCTAAGGCTTTGTCTAACATACTTTGGACATGTTGTAAGGACGGATCGTTTCCTTGGAGAGGGACATCATGCTTGGGAGAGCGGAGGGACGGCGCTGGAGGGGAAGGCCCTCTATGGGGTGGACTGATTCAGTGACTGGGGTAATCAGGATAGGTGTGTCAGAGACAGTGCGATTGGCACAGGACAGAGCAGAGTTTAGGGCTGTTATACATAGGGTCGCTATGAGTCGCAAGTGACTCGACGGCACATAACAACAACAATAACTATAGACAGTTTATATGCAATAATACTTTGGAGGGTCAAATACTGTAATAACAAACACATAAGTATGTTTACACCCCCCCCCCAAAGAACCTATCACTTCCTTGGGGGCAATATTATCTGCCTTAACAATACATGTTCTACATAGTACTTAGGAAAGAAGTGCTTTTCAATTTTCAATTTCTCCAAACTGATGATTAAGTGAGTGTATTTTTGTTTCTCCTCTGTGTAGACCCTCCTCCATTCAACTGCCTTCTGCCTCTCCCCAGTTTTGTTTATAATATCCAACTGGCATCAAGGGACATATTGAGCAATCTGAACCAATCAAAATGTGTCTGTGTGTAAGTGTGCACATGACCATGTTATTAGAAGAATTAAGATAGAAGATTAGCTGCAATTTGAAGAAATAAATGACTCAGGGTATTTTGAAAAATTTTGATAAACTAATTTTTGCATACTAGATGAGTGTGCAAATTTTCAACAACGAAAACTACAAAATAAGAATCTCCCCTTCCAAACAAAAACACAATCTTGGAAACTGCATAGCTTGGTTTTAGTCAGAATCTTGGGTTGCATACTTTTCATTTTCTGTCCTTGACTTCTTATAACTGATACTTGAGAGACTAAGGATTACAAAATTATGGTGATGATGTCATGCAAATTACGAACTGCATTTTACCACATGCAGCTAAAAGTACATACAAAGTACACTCAGGAACAAATCTAAACAAACAAACAAACACTTTCATAGTTCTAACCTGGTGGAAGCATTAAATAGTGAAGTAAATTAAATCAAAATTGGGTTCTGAGCCTAAACTCTTTAAGGTGTTTGAGTTGGTTTTTTGTTTTTTGGTTTTTTTTTTTAAGTATGTTGTATCTAAGATGGAGGGCTATTAAAAGTTAATTTCTTGGATATTCACATGAGCACTGTAGAAAAACTCAATTCTATAAATATTGGAGTATCTTCTGGCTAAGAAGGTAACTTTATGTCCCCCCCCCACAGTTCCAGCACCCCCCATGACTTGAGTACCTCAACAATCCACAGATCTGTCATCAGAATAGTAAGCTATTTTTTTTTTCTTTCATAGTCCAAACTTTTTCACTTAAGTCTAAAGAAAAGTCATACCAAGAAGAGCTTAATAAAAGTGTGGGGTGGCTAATACTTGTTCTATAAAACTGAGAGTCAAATTTTGTTAACCCAAACAACTGAGCCATTAAGAATAGTTTGGTATTCTCTTTGCAGACATGTGTTAGAACTTTTATGATGTAAATGAAGAGAAATATAATGATGGAGGGAAGAAAGAAAATGATGAGGGGAGAAAATAATCAACAACAAAAATTAGGGAATAATTCAGGTTATAGGCAGGAAGACCAGGTAAGGCACTGGAAATATCACTAGCAGTCAGGGACTGGAATATAAATCAACCCCAGGACTTAGGGAAAGCTTCAGAAAGAAAATAAACTCCCCCAAATCTCTGAGACGCAATCACCCAGGTGTCCTCCAGACTGGAGAAAAATAAACATGGACCTGGCTAGGGATAGCTATTTCAAGAGCTTGGCTTTTTGCAAACAGCTGGAAACCTTTCTGTGCACAGAAGCTAACACCTGAAGTTTGGTTCCCTCATAATACAGACAAATGTCCAGAAGCCTTGTCTCTCCTTGCCTCCTAAATTCTTAGTCATGCTGAACCCCAGATGTGAAAGTTACACAGGGGACATAAAAAGAAAATTGCTGGATAATGCTATACCTTCAAAATAAATAAGATGCATAGAAGTTGTCCTTTGGTCCTTGACACAGCTGTGGGGCTGAAACGCATCCCTCCCTTGTCTCACCAAACAAAACTTAACTAAAATAAAGCACCCAGCATAAGCCACTTTGGAGTCCCTCTACATATCCCAAATGCCCTTTCTTTCCCGGAGTTTCAAGTTCCAGAGGTTAAAAGCCAGGCCAAAAGGCGGCGCAGCAGCAACTTTTCTGCTACTCAGGGATGAAGGACCACATGTCTGGGATCAGATTCTCTATGGTGCAAGGAGTTGAGCTTCAGGACGCGCGCTTTCCCCACAACATGAATCCCACACACACCCTTCATTTCACTCCCACTCGAAAGCCTGGAGACAGGCGTGGGACTTCTCCATTCCTTCAAGCAGGGTTCATATGAAGGGAACAGGGTATGGGAAGAAAAGAAACAATAAAAACAACACATGTGTTCTCGGAAAGTATAATCTGAAATCTCTTACCATCTCTTCTGAACTTGGCACTGCGAGAAGCTTTGATAGATGCTCTCTGAGGGGTGGCAGAAGTGTCCCGGTAACTGCAAAGGTTTATGGAGATTAGAATGCAGATGAAGACAAACCAGGGCATTGGGATCAACGACCTAGGGACCATGTTGCGCCAGGGAAAAACCAGGCTCCGCTCCTGCGCTCCTGCAGAGGGACTCGCTGCCTCAAAGACGCTGAGCTAGTCTCCTGGCTCTTCCTAAACTCCTAGCTCTTCCTAAACTTCCTGCATGCGCGTGCGGGTGCTGCACTTCCTTGTGGTGGTGAGAGTTAATAAATGGTGACGGGACAAACAACAGGTTGACGTTTTTCGTCCCCTCCGGCGGCCAGCAGCTGCAGCACAGGCTGCAGGGGGCGGACGGCGCCGCAAGCAGCCCCTGAGCTGCACGCACTCAGGCTTGGCGAGCACGTCCGCTTCCCAGGCCTCGCCAGCACCCCCAGGTCACCGGGCATGCCCAGTGTGTTGGTCGCCCAGGACTCACTGGACCTCTGCGGGTTTCCTCCTGGTTCCTGGACCCCAAGGGGATGAGGGACTAACGTGGCTGGGAGGGCTTGACAGGGTCTCTAAAAGTAACCAGCATCTCCACCACCAGTCATTGCTCACGCCTCAGTGATTGATAGTGGCTTTTGGGAAAGAGAATTGGTGTCTGGGGTGTTCGGTTTGTTATCATTTAAAAAAAACAAACCAAAAAACAAAAACCACACACCCAAAAACAAAAAAACCAACCCAAACTAGAATCTATTGAGTCAGGATTTCACTATGATATTAAAGGAAAAAATCCTCGAAGCTCTCTGTACTCTAGTTCCTATTAAATCAATGTTAATTCATCAGGGAGATTTATTATTATTATTATTACTACTACTACTTTATTAATTATTATTATTAATTATTACTATTCCTTCCTGATGGTACAGTAGCTACAAGGACTGATTGATAACTCCAAAGTCGCAACAATAAGATCCATTATTAATAGAGTCACTATGAGTCATAGTCGACTAAAGGACACTTAACCACACCAACTATAAATATTAAGGAACTCCAGTTGTTTAGTGGATAAGCAGGTAAACTGTCAACCCAAAAGCAGATGGTTCTAAGCCACCAGCTTCCACAGTCAGAAAGATGGGTAATCTCCTCTCATGCAATTTACAGGCAACCTGCTAGAAGGTCAGCTATGAATCAGGTTCGACTTAACGGCATATAACAAAAATACATAAAAATTGCAGCTCTGGAAAGTGTAGGGGATGGCCTTATTCTGTTTCAAAGGATCACTATGAGTGAGAACTGACTCCGTGGCAATAGTTTGGATTTTTGTTTCTCTCACAGGGGGTCCCTTTGAATTGCTCCAGACCTCAAGAGGTCCAGTTTTTACCTGTCCAGCCAGGGCTGTTGTGATGAAGTACATCGGAGTGCCTTGTAATAATCAATCAAGGATGTGCCCTACCCCACCCCTTACTTAGTAGGAGCTGCTAAGTAATTTAGTAACTTTCAGTAAAGAAGTAACTTTCAGAAAGGACATTCAATGCAAAGTGAATAGACTTGAGGCAAGACATTGGAAGTCCTGGTCTTTGGCATCTCCCCGGCTCTTTCTGTCTGGAGGGAGCTCCTTTGGGTACCAGGAATTTGAATAGCATGCATCTACCTACCCAAACCATAACAACAGCATAACAACAGAATGGCATATAACAACACCACCTCCCCAAAATTAAATACTGTGCTTAGAACAGATGTGTGTCTGCAGTTTGTTGCTTACTAGTTTTATCACGTTAACCAAATGATTTCATCTCTCTGGTCCTATTTCTTTATGTGCAATATAGGTAGCAATATTTTGGGTGATTGAAAATACTTGTTGTTGTTGTTGTTGTTAAGTGCCGTCGAGTTGCAGGCGACTCACAGCGACCTTGTGAAGGAGAGTCCTTGATGACGACGCTTGGATGCCTTTCATCCTCTCTCCAGGTTTATAGGGTTTCCGGAGGCAAGCTATTATGGAAGTGGATGCCACTCCTCCTTCCACGCTTTGTTTTCATCGGGGAGCTCCACCCCACTCTCTGTCCACATTGGGTAACCAGCCATTAACGCATGTGACACATCAGTGTCACAGTGTTCAGCCTCACAGCAACCACAAGTGACTGCAATCTGGCAACTTGTACACAAGGGCTATACGACCTAGAGGAATGTCTGAACAAAAACAATGAAAGACAGGCCCGAGGGCCGCAAATTAAAAGTCACCCACCTTCGGCTTGGTAGCATCGCCTTCTGTCCCCTGGGCCAGCTGCTCTCTCTCTCTCTCCGTAGGTGATAAAATGCTTGTAGCATATTGCCTTGCTTGTGGCTGAGTCTTGCACCAAATTTACATGTGCTGCCTCAACTTGTCAGGAGGGAGCTCTCGTGGCCTAGAAGTAAGAAACTGCATTGGAGCTCTGAAGGCACACAGTTGGAATCCACCAGCTACTCGTCAGGAGAAGGATGAGTAATTTTCTCCCAGGTCATTAACTGTCTCGGAAAACTCATGGGACAGTCAACTATGGGTCATTTCCGACTTGATGTCATGTAACAATTTGTCAGGAATAAGATCTAAAAGAAAAACCCCTCTGAACTCTTTTAAGGATAACCAGGTCCAGAGAATCTGGTATGAAGGGTTAGGAAACTAGAAGCTACTGTGGATAAAAAATTTAGGGAAAGAAAGACTCAGCAAGTTATTATATTCCCTTAAATGCATGTATTCCTTGGACATATTTCAACTAATCATCTCTTTTTATAAATGCATTTTTGCCTAAAACAATGTTTTATAATCTTCATATTTGTGAGTCATGAAATAGGATTGGCATGTTTTGGTTTTAATAGACTGAAATGGGATAAAAGTTAAATAATCAGGGTGCATTGTATATAAAAAGATTAAATGTTGTTTCATTGCTATTTCACTGTGCACACACACTTAAAGTCACAAATGGTATTTCCATAGGGCATGAACATAAAAGTTTACAAATCACTGAAATAAAAAATCTAATTACATTGTTGCAAAATATAATCAACCCTAAGGAAAAGCATGGAACCTGGGTTTGTAAATCATTCAGTTGCATATTCATTCAGCAACTATTTTCTGAGCACTAGATTTTCTCTTTGTATCACTCACTGGTCTAGACCCTGGGATTAAAATAATAGACATGAAATAAAGATCTCTAATTTTATGTGTTTTACAATCTGGCGCAGGAAAAAATCATGAAAGTAAATATATGTCTACATGAATAAGAAAATAAGAGTAGAAAATGGTGGGGTTTGAGTGAGATATAATTTAAATGTAAGTTACCATTTTTTTAGAAGTGATTGGAAGCATTCGCTAAATTTCCTACCTAATCTGTGACACAAAAACACAGAAAATAAATGAGAAAGTGTGCAAGTAACTTATGCTAAGAATAAAAATGCTGAAGAGGGTAGTCTATCTCAATATCTTAGATAAGACATTAAATTTAAAGTATTCCAAGTATTATTGTCCAGGCTGTTAATAGTATTAGCAAAAAAGGCTTTATGAATTAATAAATATTTAATTTATGATACCTGGCCAAATATTTGATCTGATAATAGTAAAGGTTTTCATACACAAGCAACATCTTAATCTTTAATATCAATAAATAATCAAGATCAATGAGTAAATCCAATACATGGAAACCTGAGCTTAATAAATTGTGTTCTGAATCTGATTATCAATATTATCTGATAATTAATTCTTTCAAATTTGTCTCATTATATCAATTCAAGTAGTATTTCAACAGAATAGGTGCTTAATAAAACATAGACAGAGAACAGGAAACATCTGGTACAAAGCTAAATATAGTTTTAATTTATTTTTTAGTATGTATCTCAAATTGACATCCACGTCCTAATCCAAATGCCTCTGGAAACCATGAACTTGGAGAAACAAACATAGACATAGAAAGGCTTCAGGTCTTTTGTTCATAGGGTCTCTATGAGTAATGTTCGACTCAACGGAAATCAACAACAACATCATCATCTCAAATTAGCTTCCCAAACCACTGAACTTTCCACAACATTTAAAATGCTTGTATATAAGGTAAGACATGTATCAACATATTAATAAATATATATTGTAATTCATACTAATATGAGTTGACCAGCCACAAGCTGCCCTGTGGGAGAAAGATGGGCAATATCTTCCTGTGCAATTAACTGCCTCTGAAAATCCTCTGGAGGGCCAGCTATGGGTCAGTTCTGACTCTATGATACAGAACAACAACAACATTCTGTAATTAGTTCTTGTTCAATGACATCCACATAATTATGAAAGGTATACTACTATATTATATCCTATTCACAGGGCAATTCCTTATGGACTGGACCACCAAACCTCCCCAGTAGGTAGTAATAGTCATTTCTAATTCTCACTCCATCTAAAGATGATTTCCCTTTGTTCTTTGCTGCTCACTGTTATTTGTTGTTGTGTACCCTCTAGTCAGAATGACCCATAGCTGACCCTCTGGTGGATTTTCAGAGGCAGTTAATAGCACAGAAGGAGATTGCCCATGCTTCTCCCACAGAGAAGCTGGTGGATTTGAACCATGTGTCTTTGGGGTTGCAGTGTAGCTTCTTACCCCTAGGCCACAAGAGCTCACTAGATTGAGAAAAAGCAAAGCAGAAAAGTATGAAGGAGTGGTTGTTGATAGGGCTCAAATCGAAAATTTCCACCCATGAGTTTTAAAGTTTCTCAAGATCTGCTGGAGGGTGAGCTATAAGTGGGATCCCACTTGATGACACATAACAACAACAACAATTTCTACTCAGGAAGTATTAGGAGTACAGCCCATAAAGAGTTGCTCTACTAACCAATAGTTGTGCCTTTTTGGTGGTTTGAATCCACCAGCATGTCCACAACAGAAAGGTGCCAATCTTCTCCTATGCAGCTCACAGCCTCATAAACCCAGTGGAGGGTCAGCTATAAGTTTATTTGGCTCAATGGTAAAGAAAGAATTTCTACACTGCAATTAGACTTTTGAATTTCATCAGTATTTCATTTTCCTACAGCTTACACCACTCCTTCTATAATGGAAGTATTACAATAGAAGATCGCCATC